TGAACCATTGCTAACGCTTTTTTTTTCTAATGCTTAAATAATAGGCAAAAGAGGGGATGGAAAAACGAGATGAAGAATGAGGTAAGTTTTGATGATATGAAAATTGTAGGAGATGTAATCGGATCTCAGTGTACGGAAGGCAAAGGACGACAACAACAACAAAAACAAAAACAAAAACAACAATTTGAGTAAAAAGAGCATTTGGTTGTTGAATTTAAACAATTTCAAATGGTTTCAATCACTGATTATATGTATTAAATATCCTTCAATTGTTATTGAAAAAAAAAGCAAAAACAAAAAAGTGATTATTGAGGAATTGTTTCTTTTTTTTTGTTTTGTTTTTAGAATGCACCACGGATACTAATTGAATGAAAAGTAAAAAATCAAATTCTGACATATATACCACTGTTCAGCCATTTATTATCTGCTTTTTTTTTTTTGTTGTTGTTTTGAAGCTTAGTTTCCTTTGTTGGTTACTTCATGTAAAATACTCATAAATCAAATTTTTTTTTTTTTTCTGACATTAAAAACTGTTAAAAATTAAATTTTTTTTTTTTTTTTGTAAATTTCTTTTTTATTTTTTTTTATTGCACTTTTCATTATTTTTCTCTGCTATTTAAAAAGCTATGAAATTGGCAATTTTTTTTTGTTGACACACACAAAAATGAATTGTGGTGAAATGTTTGGGATGACATTTGTAGGCGACCAATGGAACATTGGGTTGAAGCAGAAGTATTTTTAATCATTTTTAAATTAAAGTTTTTTTTTGGCCAACTGTTTTTTAGTTCACAGTGATTAAAGTCAAATTTTTTTTTTTTTTTTTAGCAGATTTTAAAGCTCAATTTTTTTTCTTTCAAAGATTATTATTTCTTCTAAAAAGAATCTCTTTATTGTGTTGTTGAAATAAGAAGAAAAAAAAAAAAAAGATTAGATTTGATGCAAAAAAAAAAAATTTGTTTGTTAGAGTAAAACAAAAAGTAAATAAAGCAAAGAAAAAAGATTTAGTGTTATGTAAAGAAAAATGATTTGAATTAAACGAATAAATTCTTAGTTTTACTCATCACTGTCATCTTTTGCATATTATTTCACTACGGTTTTTTGTAAATTTCTTTGACAAATAACTTTGATTTATTTATTTTTTTTGCTGAATAAGTGTTGTTTTTAAAGATCTGAAGTTA